GCTACTCACTTATCTATTCTGGAACTGTTGTGTGCCCCCTTCCCCTTTGAAAATGTCAAATTTTTAGCTCAAATTATATTTGTAATTGATTATGCTAACACTTATCTGTTCTGGAACTGTTGTGTGCCCCTTCCCCTTTGAAAATGTCAAATTTTTAGCTCAAAAATAGGAAATTTTGAAGTAATTCGTATAGAACTCGCACAGGTTGTTTTTCGCTCAAGTGGATCTTCTTCCGCTGAAACTAGCATCCGCTCGAAAAAAATTCCGCTCGAATTGGCCTTCGCTCAAAGTGGCATCCGCTCGAATTGACTGGTTTATGTAAAGACTCTTTTGCCCTTTTTTATTGTAATAATTATTATACAGTGAACAAACCTTCCTCTTCCTCCAAAGAGCATGTATCAGCTGCAACTCGTTCCTTGTAGTAAGGCACTAGCCACCGGAGGGCCTCCCACTCCTTGCTCACAGCATCCTGGATTTCGGCCACGCCTGCACCTGATCTCATCTTTTTTTTTTTAATCTTTAAGGTATCTACAGGCATAAAAATATAATACTGTAATAAAATAATACTAACAAAATGTCCAATCTACCCCACTGGACAAATCTCAGTGCAATTATTCAAATAGGGGAGGGGACGTTTATAAAAAAAAAATTATTTTTGCGTTACAAAATTTTACTAGGCTTAAAGAGGGAAACACAACAAAATTTTGTTTGTCTTTAAAAAAGATAATGTATGAGAAACCGTCTTACCTCGAAAAGCAAGTAGGCACATTTTTATATGCCCGTTCTACAAGATCTCCCGTCCAGGCTGCCTCTCCCCTGCATTTTACCTTCATGTAGTTCAACTCGTCCGCCACTTTTTCTAGAGCATTTTTTTTCATAGTTCTCTTATTTTTGTAGTTGGCAGCCCTTCTTTCATACAATATTTCGACTCTCTGCACAACTTCCATAAGGGATTTTTCACTATGGTCCATCTTTGGTCTAAAATTTAATGATAAACAATATATATTAAATATTTTCAATAAATGTACCTACCTACCTAAGCCTAGGCTAATGAAGGGCCTTCTAAAAAAAAAAAAAAATCAAAATAGAAAAATCAAAAACGGAGAACTAGGCCTGGCCTAGAACTAGGCCTACATTACATACAAATGACATATCATTCTATAAATTTGTGAAATACAGTGTACTTTTACTAGGCCTAATCCAAGAGATATATAATAATTGAGTCTGTCGAACTAGGGCTCAGATAGTTACGCTAGACTACGCTTGGCAGCTTCCTTCCATAGGGAAAAGAGTGGTTGCCTTGCGTTCCATTGCAGATGCCTAGCCTAGGCCTAGCAGCATAGGCCTAGGCTAGCTAGGCTAGGCCTAGCTGGCCCTAGGGCCTAGCCTAGACTAAACGGGAGTGTGGGAATAAGTAAAATCGAATGGCTACCTGTTAGGTTAATTAGCATAATAATATATTACATATCCATAATAGGCCTATGTCTATCAATTTTCAAAGTACAGTACTTACATTTGAGTTTAGAGCAAGGAGACGAAAATTGCTTCGTGTACTAGCACCCACACACCGCACATCACGCACAGGCCTGGCGCACAAAAACAGAAAAGTTTCAATGACATCATCAATGGATAATTTGATTGGCCAGTTCTTACGTTTTTCGTCGT